GCCGCTTCAAATACCAACAGTCAGTTCCATTCGATCAAAACAAACTCCGCATCGATCACCATCAGGGTTGGCATCGGCAGAGCCTTCCTCACTTTGATCGGGTTGATCGGCATCTTCGTCCGCATCTTCTGATGCTCGACCTGCAGCCAAGGCAGCATTCCTGCACCTACACTCGGAGTTTCCGCTGCATGTACAACTTCGATCTCTTTCTCCTTCATCTCCTTCATCGTCCTGTTTCCAATTACTGCCACGATGGCTGACGAAGGATGACGGCCCTTGATTCTCCTTGTTGAGATTGAAATCTCCTCGAGCTCCATTAATGGTGTCCTCTTTGTTATCCTCTTCCCCTGTTCTTTGTCTCCTGCTTGCTGGAACCTCCTCCTCCTCCTCCTCCTCCTCCTCCTCCTCCATGTCCAGCCCTTGGCAATCTTCAAACTGAGTATCTTCAAACTGAGCATTTTCAACATCATCATGAGTTTGTTCCATATCAAACTCTCCAACGGCATCCTCGAAGTTGGAGTTTGCATTCTGCATCATCCGCAGCCGTTCTTGCCTCGTGCTCGCCCGCGCGGCCTGCTCTGTCTCTTGATCGAGGTGGCGACTCCCAGCAGCATGATCCTGGGCCGACTGCTCCGACCTTCGATGAGCTTCATGAGCTTCATGATCTTTGATCGCTCCTTTCTCCTGCGCTTCATCGTACGAAACAATCCTCCCATCTTCCATCAAAATCCTCTGCGCAGTCGCTCGATCGGGTTCTACCCAGCCCCTGTAACGAGATAGCATGACTATGAGGAACGAGGACGAGGAAGAACGAGGACGAGGAAGAACGAGGACGATGAGGAGGTACCTCAGAGCCATCTGAGCTTGCAGAGCAACGTCAGCTTCAGCTTGCATCCTTCTGAACACCTTGACGAATTGTTTGTAGGTCAAGGGCTTAAAGCTGTCGAATCAATGTCAACATGGGCGCCATTAGACAAGCAATGAGACAAGGGGCACAGCAAGAACAGCAAGAACTTACTTGCCGCCAGGCACAGCGTCAGATCCATCTACCATGACCCTCTTGACACCAACTCTCGCTAGTTCCTTGTAGTTAGCGTCATTTAGTCCGAATTTCGTGTTCAAGGACGCGAAGTAGAGCTGACAATCATCCTTTCGAAAGCATGGCGCGAGCTTGTTCGCTGTTTCAACATCGTCCACCAAACCCCGTATTCCTCGCTTGTCATTAGCCAGAAGAGACTGGTCCTTGGAGTTGAGACCTCCCATGCTCGCTCGATACCTTGCCCACAAAATGTAAGTTGGATTTCTTCACGGCTGACTACGAGCAGAATGGGCTGTCAGGATGTTGCGAGCAAGAGAAAGACAGGGAAATGAATCAAAGAACAAATCGAAACTAAGCGATCAAGTAGGTAACCAGCAGAAATAAACCTCACACCACAACGTAAAGGTAGAGTGAAAACACGCTGCGCAGGAATGAACAAGAGGAAGTGAGGAAGAGAAGAAGAGAAGAAGACGATGAGCTCAATTCAGCATTCACCAGGATGGGAGGAAACAAGTTGAGGAGGAGGGGAACAAAGCATGGCTCGAGTGACAGCGAAGGGTTAGAGGGAAATGGCATCTTTCGCAGCCAGCATGGCGGGGGCTGTTGGGTCAAGGCCGAGTAGAGGAACAAAGGGGGTGGGTAGGGGGTTTTGGTCGAGAAATGGGTGGGTACTTTGTATTAAGAAAGAGGGGTGGATATAGGGTCTAATTACCACCAAGGGTGGTTTACAATTGGGAGTGCTCTAGAGTCGCACTGCCAGGCGTGCAGCTAGCCTGCCCGTCTGGAGCCATTCTTAAATCAACCCCCCCCC